GCATTATTTCTCTCGGTAAACTGTCACTTTTTTTATTTTATATCATCTGGTATAAATATACAGTTATATTCATAATTGCTTTGTTGGAGGTATTGTCAAAAGAGTATATAAAATTCATAGTTGAATTTTGTATGGGGTAGTACAGTGTGGAATGGATATTCTTGAGGTATTTGAAAAATTTTATGATTTGCAGTCTATCATAATCTGTACTCATCTTCTGGATGAATTATTATTATTTTCTGTGAAGTGTTGAATAGTGAAGTTTGTGAGTGTTATCACTGTTAACCCTCCTGTGTGTGCTTGAACTGTGAGAAGAAAGGTTAACTGGTTTTGTAGGCATGACAAACAATCTGAACACACACTCTTCTTGGCTGCTTTCCTTTATAACATATAGCTAGTATACAGATTTTTTATTTACACAGATACATCATTTTTATTGCAGTGCTTCATTACAAATATGATTCTACAAAGTCATCATCTTACATGAAAAATGGAACTGAATTTGAAATCCATTATGGCTCTGGCAGTCTGTCTGGATTCCTGTCCACTGATACTGTCAATGTAAGTGATATCTAAGTATGTCTTATAGAATTTCAATAACATAAATCTGGGAAGAGTTTTTAAATACTATGTTTTATCTTCTGTAAATTACCTTTCGTTCAGACTGCTTATTTGATATGAATTTGATTCACCTAGTGCTTGACATTTGTGAATATTGAGTCATGCAGTACCATGATTATGTTAGAAGTGTAGGATAAGGAATCAGTTAATCAAATTATGAGCATTAGTGCTACTGTTCAGCAGAGATATGTGTGACAGTGTTGAAAATATTGCATATCATATTCCACATCCATTCAAGCACAGTAAACATGCTATGATCCAGATTTTGGGTGGAGAAGGCCTTTGGTCAGTGGAGATTCATTAGTGGATGCAGGCCATGTATGACAGTGTTTGTGCATCTGAAAGCATTATGAAAGCCTGGTGCAGACAATTGTATGATAACACATGCCCTTACGCAGGAAAATGTTTCAAGACCAAGGTGCAGCACACGTTGGGAGGTACTGGAGTGTCTGGCATAGTCTGGATGTTTGTGTTACTGAAGTAGGTACTCGAGGGATGCTGATTCCAGTCAGATGCTTAAGTGAAACAAGGTGGTGATGCCTTTTTCTGGTGGAAGGTTTTTGAATTATCTTAAAAGGCATCCAGTGCTGGGTATGCATGTCTGAATGTGGGTTTTTACTCGGTTTGAATGAACTCAATGTGGATATGTAATTGGCCTATGGGTGGGTTTCTATTGAACCACCTTTCTATGTAGGTTCTAATTATAAACACAGAATTTGTATTGCATGATTACTATGTATATACTTTACATCATTAAATCTGTTTTGCAGGTGGGGGGACTTGAAGTGAAAAAGCAGACATTTGCAGAGGCTGTAAGTGAACCTGGACTGGCCTTTGTTGCTGCAAAGTTTGATGGTATCCTGGGAATGGCATACAGCTCAATATCTGTGGATGGTGTCATACCCGTGTTTTATAATTTGATCAAACAGGGACTTATCTCACAGCCTGTCTTCTCATTTTATCTTAACAGGTATTTTATCTTGTAATAATCTGCACATATATGTGCATGTACATATATACACGAAACTTGATTTCAGAATTATATAAAATTATATTTGAATTAAAATCCACATGTGTCTGCAAGCAATTAATTTTTTCTAAAATATGTTAACTGCTATTCATAAGATTGTAATTTATAAAACTTACAGGGCTGTTCAATAGAGATGAATATAAGACTACACATCAAATTCTTAAGCATAAGCAAAATGTA